AGAGATTGAGGCTGGTCTCTGCTCCCAGATAACAAGAGGAAATGGCCTCATACTGTGCCAGGGGAGGTTAGATTGGCTAACAGGATTATTTTTTTCTTTTTCCTCTGAAAGAGTGGCCAAATATTGTAACAGGCTGAAAAGGAAAGTGGTGAAGTGACAATGCCTAGAGATGTTCAAAAATCATGTGGATGTGGCACTTGGGGATATGGGGTAGTGGTGGATATGGTGGTTCTGGGTTGATGGTTGGATTCAATGACCATAGAGGACTTTTCCAGCCTTCATGATTCTCTGTACTCACACAGCACACAGTGGTATCACTGATTCCTCATGCCTTCGATAAAACAGCAGGGCGTAGGGGGCTTCTGCAGAATTGTGTTCTTGACAAAATGCTTTAGGCTTTAGAAAGCTGTGAAGATAAACTTTAAAAAAAATTAAAAGGATTGTGGAAAATAAACATTTTTCATGGGGAGGTGTGTTTGACAGTTTTCAGGTTTTACTGGAAAAGCTAAAGCAAATCAGCCCCTTTTTCAATAACTGAGCACCAAAAAAATCTACTTTTCAAAATGTTAACTATTTCTTAAAACACCTACAAAAACAGTTCCTCTAAATAGTCTGCTGAAAACTGAATCTCCTCGTGATCAGTGTTGTTTCTGTCTTGCTTTATCACCCATCAGCTGGGTAATAGTTCCAGCCATTACCTTTGCATTGTCTTTGTTTTCCTAAATCAAGCTATTTCTTCTTCTCACCAGCTGATTGACTGCTTTAAGGCTGCTATTACTTCTATCTCTTCCTTCTCTGCAAGAGAAATTTTAAAAGGGAGGTAATCATTACTTACATACTCGGGTCCACTGCGAAACCATTGCAATTTAGAATGAACACACTCTAAGACTCTGCTTCTTACTTCTTTGTATATGTTTTAATCAACAGCATTAAAAAAATCACCCCATGCTACAGCTCTAATCTTAACTGTTAATTTGTTATTGAAATTGTCACTACGAAAACATACATATGTTTTAGATATGGGGTTTAAAATTAAATATAAATTAGGCTCAGGGTTTTTTAATTTAAATTCTTAATTAATTGTTTCTCCTTTGTCTATTTGAGTTGTGATAATACATACATGCTCAGGTTGTAATTCATAGATAAGAATGGAGCGACTGGTTTGCAAATAGCATTGCTATGTTAGAACAAAGTTGGTGCAGAGAGACCTGATTGCCCAGCTCTTGGAAATGAGTAAATATTGAATCTTATGTGGGTAAAATTAGCCTATAGCTATGCTGACAAAGTGAAGTTTCAAAAAACTAGAAAACTACAGTTTGGGAACAAGGTCCAGCTATCATCATTATTATAATTATTATTATTAAATTTCTGTTTTTACAATTATTTCCATTCTTCTGAGTTGTACACTTGGGCTTTTTTAGCTTTAAGAAATCTTCAGGGTGGACATAGCAAAGGTAAAATTAAAAAGTTATATTCTAAACAAGTGCTAGAACATACTTAATAAATATCCCACATTGACTGGAACTTAATATTAGATTTTTCTACCTTTGTTACTTGCCCTGAAACAGAATGAACTCTTCCCGAGTATGACAAAGGGCACTCTGAAGACTACAGCAAGTTGAGCTCAGAAATCAAAAATAGAAAATAGAAATTTATGCAAACATTATTTTGATGCTTTCTAACCCAAAAAAATATTTTATGTAGGGGTTAGAAAAGCATTAGAAACACTAGGAAATATTTCAGAGTTTAAGATAAATTATACTAAATCAGTTGCATAGAAATATAGCTATCAGCCTGCCACAGGAAGAACAAAAGCAATTACCACTTCTCAATATATCTAACCATGCTCATTATTAATTGAAATACCTGGAATAAATATCCTGCATCAACCAACCAATCCAGACAAGTTGTGTGTACTTAATTATTCTCACATAAAAGCAATTTTTAAAAGGTGGAGCAAAGTTAACATGACTTGGATAAGAAGAGTTCATATTAATGAGGAAGTGAAGAAGAGTTCATAGTTGTGGGGAAGTGTTGTTTGAAACTCAAGATGCTAACATTTTATTTCAAAGTCTGTCCTGATATCTGTAAACACTGATTTTGGCATTACAATTATAAAAAATCATAATTTTATTAAAAGTGCTGATTATTGTATGCAGATGTACAACTGTACGCAGATGGCTACAACTCTGGAAGATGTTGATTCATTTGGGTTTAAATCTAAAGACACCTAAACCAGATTTTTACACTGCCCTGGTATTTATCTTTGTATATCTAGGTCTTAAACATTTGCTAAGCACTTTAGTCACAAAGACACTTAAGTGCCTAAATTTAATATCTCTTTTAAATACTACGTAAAAGCCAGTAATGATATGTATATATATATATATACACATTTGTGTGGTTTTGTAGGTATGTTTGTGGCAATGTATATTTGCATATACAAATTTATTTCATATTATACATGAAATAAAGTCTCATTTTGGCAGGAAAGGGAGAAGATAAACTGGTATCACAGGTCAAGAGGAACAGAGGCTACGCCTGCGACAGACTAAGCAGAAATCCTGCAAATAGATAGCCATTTTCTCCCTGATGAGCCATATCTACCCAACAACCCAACTTCCATCTCCATTATCAGTTATCGAACAGATGGCTGCTCACAGGCCTGGGTGAATAATGCAAACCAGTGTTTGCTAACATTGGTTCAAAGTCTGAACGGCTGTTTGATTCACGCTTGTTCATCCACTTGTTATTCAGTGTTCACAAACATTCATGCTGAATGGGTTTCCCTTCACATGGATGTTTGGCGAATGGGTCTTTTTCATACAAACCCCCATATTCATGTGCAAACAAGGGCATTTGTGTGCGAACAAGAATGTTTCTTATTCACTGTTGGTTATTTGTGCTTCTCTACCATTATTCTCCTTTTTGAAATGTTTGTTGGCCATTCAAGGTGCATGACCTAGGTGATCAAATACAAATCAAAAATAAGAGTAACAAGCAGTCAAATTAGGCAGTTCATCACGGTCGAAAAATAGTTAACCATCTATTAAATGTAACCTTTTCACAGTAAAGACAACTTGTAGATAGCCAGGGGGAAAAAGAAAGAAAAAAAGAGATGCATGGATGAGTATTCCCCAAAGTCCATCTGCAATGGCTCTGGAGAGCAGCGCGCAGTGCAAGCGCGGGGCAGCGCGGGGCAGCGCGGGGCTGCAGCCGGGCCGGCGCGCTGCGGAGCGAGCAGCCGGAGCCTGCCCGCCCGGAATCAGCTCCGGCTGCCTCTGACCGGATCCAGCTGCGAGCCAGCTGTGCTCCCAGACCAGCTGGCTCCGTGGCTCTGAGCCCCTGGCAGCAGATCCCGTGCTCGGCCGGCTCAGCTCAGAGCCTGCGAAGCACTTGGATGGTAACTTCTGACAGAGCTCAGAGTGGGCTCATAAGGCGCTGTCTGATTATTACAATTTAATCCCTAAAATAAAGTAGATGTCTAGAATACCTAGATGGAAGTGTTTATCTAGAAATGAATACAGGATTGGCTTCTCCCAGTAACATAATTCTTGAGGAGTAAGACTTGAGTCAAAGAAAACATCATAAGCAAAATCATCACTATCTAATACCAATAAGTTAAGTCATTCTTTTGGCTATTTTTACCTTCTAGAGTTTTATTAATATTAATATTATGAAATTAAGATTCCTTCTGTGCGTTGAACTCCTTTTGAGAATACAGATGAGACTGTGTGTTACTGTATCTTTTTTTTTTTTCCCTAGTGTTTGAGAAACAAATGTAAATTTGGGATGAGTTCTTTGACCCTTATCTGACAAAATATGCTAGTCGTGAAAAGCCTGCTCTCACATCCTGATACTACAAGACCACTAAGTTCTGGCCTTTATTATCTGGCTGCCAGTTAAACGAGATAATTATGAATTGTTGAACTGAAGAACTAAAGCTTCAGCAGATAGCAGTGGGCTATGAAATCTTATCCCTTCTGTGTCCAGGACTTGGTAAGTGTTTGTTGTGTCTGCTACATAAAAGCTTTGTGGGCAACTGTCAGAAATTTAGTATCGCCCTGAACTATAACCTTTGCACGATGCCATCCATAACCAAGTGACCTGCAGCAGCTCATTAATGTTAATGTAATGGATCATTTGCTTCTAATTATATTCATCAGCAAATTAGACTCACTTTTCAGCTGTTATTCAGAGAGAAGAATACAGTTAAGTATATGGAGTCAATAAAGTATGTTATTCTGCATGTTCCTCTGTTCAAACTCATACCTTACATGAGCAGAACTAGGATGAGATGACTCTTTACTATAGGAGAAAGATATTTTTACACATGTAGATGGAAAAAGTTTAACACTTTACAATTCTTCTTTTCTAAAGTAAGTGCAAGAAAAATGCTTTTTAGTTTGTATTGCCTGAATTGCTTCCCAGGAAAGACCTAAATTTCCTCAAATACTGTTCAGCTATTTGAAATTAGTCTCAAACAAGTCACATTTATTGTTAGAGTACACGCTGAACAGTATTAATAGTTCTTGCCTCGTAAAATTACTTTATCATCTAAATATAAGTATGCAGTAGTTGTTGTTTTCCAACATACATCAAGATCATAGAAAGAAGCATATGTGTTACTTAAAAGCAACATTTCAGAAAAGAAAATATTCTCTTGATAAAAGCAGCCTACTAATTCTAAAATCTTGGTGGGGGTAACAAGGAACAATACTTTTGGTAGAAATCCCATATCCTCTTTTTTCAGGTTTGGCTTTTTAAAAGACCCTTGTATTAAATACAATGTATTGACATTATGTGCAGTCAGAATTGCTACCTTTTGTTAGCAGGGTACCTCGCGCTACCTTTTGAAAAAGGGAAAATATTAATTTATGCATTTTTTATATTTAGTATTGTTTTATTTTTACAAAGTCACTTTATCAGCTTGTGATCTTTCTGCTGACATATCTGTTCCCTCCTCTGTATTCTCACAACATGGTTTCAACTTCTGGGGCACAGCATCCCATATCGTGCTCTTGTAATCACAGCCACCAAAAGGTATGTAATAAGGAGTTATCCTTGATCTTAATGCTTTACTAGCCCCAGTGATCTGTGTTGGTATTAGATAACTGATAGACTCAGGAGGCTATCTCAATGTACCCAAATTCAAAAGTAAGTTTTAACATGACTGAATATCTAAGTTACAATATAGAGTATTTAGTAAGTAGTATAAAAAGGAAATGGTCAAATCTACTCTTAGTACATATATTTCGTTTCTTTTCATTGTTTTAGCCTACTTCCTTTTATCTGGCTCTGAGCAGTGCCAAGATTCATGTGAAGATACAAATTTCAGAAAAGAATATTTCTTCCTAGGTACACTGCATGAGCAAGTTTGCCCACTGTTTATGCAGACTCCCATGTCTGTGGATTGAGTCCTGAGAGGCTGTAGAAGAAAAGAGAATTAAAGGGGAGCTGAAGTGCTGAAAACTGGCCATGGTTCTCACACCATCCTGCCATCCCTGATGGTCATCATCCAACATATCAGCAGTCTGGCTGGGGAGAGTGGGGCTGTCCCAGGTAAATCCACGGTGGGTTCTCTCCTGAAAAACAAAACTGAAGCCGATAAGATATGACAGATTGTAGAGGTGGTCTCTGGCAGAAAGCTGCTCTAGAGCAATGCATACTATGTGGTTAAAATAGGGCATTTCCTTTTCCATGCCTCTGCCGGAAGGGATGAGTCAAGTCCCAGAAATTTACAGAGGAATGTGCTTCAGTATTAACATGCTCAGAACTGAATCCTAGATGCAAGGATTCCAAGCCAAGGCTTCTCAGGTTCAAAAATTTTCATCTATAAATGCGGTGCCAACATACTTATCAAGTTAAAATTCGGAATTGCAGCAAGGGTCAAAATGGATGATCAAACAGGGACTGAACTGAATCTTTTAATTACTGAGAAGTCTGAGCTACACTTATTAAATGTTAATACTATTTAGTGTTTACTGCCAAAGGCAGAGAAAGTCAAGAAGCTAATCTCAGGTATTTGTGACCAACACTACAATTTACCAGAGACCTGATGAAAACATCTCCTGAGATTTGCTGTCCAGATTTTGATAAAATCAGAATGCTTATCCCAACTGAAATTTGAGTGCTGATAAAACTGCTGTCCACCAGCAAAGCAGCCCACACAAGTAGGCAGAGCAGGAATGGGCAGCCTATCAATCATGGGACACCTAATGCCATTGCCTGATTTTTTATTCTGTTGGGTCTTTCATTCTTTTGTTGTATGCCTTCCTAAGGGTGGACTCCTCCCGTAGCAAGCACTGATATAAATCTTAAAAAATCAAAGTCTGCTCCCCACTACACGAGATTCAGCAGTGCTCCAGAACTTGGATCAATATTAGTAAACAGACAATAGAGAGTACAATGTTTTTGTATGGTACATCAAGGGCTATTTGCAAGCTGTTAGACGGCACGTTAGGGCTAATATTCCTTTGTTGTAGTAGCTGAAGAGTGGAATAACTGGAGAATGCTCCATGAAGTATTTTGCCCTTCCGTTAAATTGTTTGTCTTGTATTGAATGTTTCAATATCGGAAGTTAAGCATCTGCTCCAGTAGTTCCCTATATCAGGGCCTGTATTTCTAGCTCCCAGAGTTATCTGGTTTCTGGTCAATTCACTTATAGCCTGACATTTCACTTTCTCCATCTATGAAATATGGAAAATAAAACGTAGCTGTCTTATGGCGGTATGGAGAGTAATTAAAAAATGTTTGTTGAGCACTCTGAGATGAAAAATTGTACTATTGTAATATTTAGCAGATGTGATTCTATCACATTTCAGAATACAGTGTTATCAGAGACATCCTTGCATGTCTGTGAGCAGGTAGCCTCCTCTCGCAAACAGGTTCCTGCATGAGATGCACAGAAACAGGGAAACTTGCATGCATTTGAAAGACTGGTGAGAAAGTTTAGTCTAATTTCCCTTCGTAACAAAATATTTACTTAATTTAGGGAAACATAGGGGAAGGCCGAACGCATTTTCTGTCCTGTGTGACTGGCAGCAGGATGCTGCAGTGAAGGAAGGAAGTCCTGCCATTGCTGGGCACCAGCAGGAGCTGGGGCAGGGCTGGAGGGCTGGGTGGGAGCTTCTGGGCAGACTGAGCAGGGTGCCAGGCGGGAGGACAGCCTGACACCTCCCAGCTGCTTATCAGTCCATCGTTCTCCTTAGAAACTCCACCGTTGTTCTGTTTCTGTTACAGGTCTAGCTAACAGAACCAGCCAGAATAACACGGAATGGTGATTGACTGCCTATTATGACCCAAAGATTGAATATTGCATTGAATTTCCCCTTTTCTAAAAAAATATAAATAAAAACCTATTTTCATTAGCACTTAAGAATCTGAGGTACCTGATGTAGTAGTTTCCCTTTTTTTTTTTTTCTCTCTCTTAGACAAGAGTTGATTGTTATTCTGAGTGAAGAATCTCAGTCTCCAGGGTTGTTTTGGAATAAATTTATGATGCTCAGCTGAGATATGTTTGGTGAGACTGGACATTCTACAGCAAGCTCCTAACTTGAATCTCTGCCTGGATCTCTGCTTCATCCCTGGGAAAACTAAAAACTAGATCTAGCTGGAAAAAAAATTGGTTACTTAACGAAATTGAGAAACATTTTGTTTATGTTTCTTGCAAGAGAAAAAACTACTTATTTTTCCATTGGTTGTTCACATCAAAGCAATTTCTTCAATGAACAACCACAATTTCTAGGAAGACTTGGTGTTTTTTTTTTTTTTTTTTTTTTTTTTTTATCAGTTTTTTAATTTTTTTTTTTTTTTAAAATTTAAATACTCTATTATCAATTAAATCTCTTACTTCAAGACTTCCAGTGAACTCTGCCACATCAAAATCCTATCTATACCAAAGAATTCTTTTACTTTTTTAAAATTAAAAGTATTAACATTTATTTAGAAAACAAGCATTACTTTTAATTTATATATCTAAGAGTTAGATATATACACCAGACTTAAAGATATATTGTCACCAATACACCCATTCAGCCTAGTGTACAATGGTTAATAGCTGTAAATAATGATTGTTTAATTAAGATACCATAATTGTCACTAATGTTGCATCTCACATAACTCAAGGTGGTATGAAATGATGATTTAGTAAAATCATTTGAGAAATAAAAAAGTCATGACAGATATCAGCCTTCAACTTGCGAATAATTTATTTTTCTTTTCCATGCCCTTTTTAAAAATATTCTTTTCTTTTTGTGTCTTCTGGTTCAGTGGGATAAAATCTTCAAAACAAAACACCAGGGCATAAAAATGCCATTAACATGAATAAAAATAGCACGGGTAACTCCTTAGTGACAACTGATTTCACAGTGTCAAAATCACACTATTTTATTGACCTAGTTGAGTTTCTTCCCCTCAGAATCAGAAACTTACCCGATTTCCTGCAGGAATGTCTGTACAGTTTTAGTTTAGTTTACTCATTAATGTTTCAAGCCTTTCTACCACAAAGGAACAGACACATGAAAGTGAAAATGTACCTTTTTTTCACAGCGGGGAACCTTCATAATGAAAACTTGGCATGCACACCTGAGGAGAACAGTAAAGCTTATAGAATTTACATATGAGGATTGTAATGTGCTGCTTCTTCTTTTTTTTTTTTTTTTTCCAACTGTAAAAGGAAAGAGAATAAAAAGAGAATGTGACATTCTGGCACCAAGGTTATCAGCAAGACATGAATTTTACTTCTGTGTTAAAGATGCATAGAAGACATGTAAATATGTAATTTTAAGTGTTCTGAGTGTCTTCTACAAATTTTTCTGTACATCCATGACAACTGGTATTATTAATATTGGATTTTATTATTATATTTTCTCCATGGTGCTGTATAGGAAGAACTTGGTTGAGCTTCAGGATTCAGGGGGAAAAAATAATTTATTTCAGTGGGAGGTGGTTGAAGATTTGAAAAATGTGAGAAATTGATTTGAAAACCTGGGATGTCTTGTGTTTAGAGACATCTAGTTACAAGCTTGCATGTTTTTCCTGTTTTGCCTGCTTCTTAAATTTGGATTTTCATTTCAATACCTGATGGTTTTAGGGAGATTTTTTTTTTATTTAACAACAAAAAATTAAATTAAAGAAGACTGAAATGAAATTAATTCAGCTATTTGCTTCTAAGTAAATGTAACACCATATTTAGGCAATTAAGGTACCTAAAGATACCCATACACAAAATAAAAAAACTAATGTGATCCTCTTTTAAATACTTGTACAAATTAAGATAGAAAATAACCCTCTGACACCATATACCACTTTCTGTTATTTCTATCTTATTTTTCTGCTTTTTACAATTTTCACAAATCATCTATGCACCTGTGTGTATTATTTAGACATTGTATTAAAAGTGAGAGAAAAAACAACACCAAAGCCAAAACTTTCTTAGAACTTAAAATCAAATCTAAGTTCTGACCATGACTTAATCTTCACAGGGATATAAAGTCACTTCATCTGTCTCAGCTTCTCCATTTTTATGCTGGGAATAAAGTCATGCTTCCTCTCATAAAATAGCCTGTTATTGTTTGAAATTGCTAATTATTATTCTATAGATAGATAAAAGCAGTAGTCATCAGAAACAAATTTAAAGGTATATTGCCAGCACAAGAACTTCTGTTTCATCACTAAAATATCATGAATCATTTGTGCTAATGAGCCATGGGGCATTTTTTTTTGGTAATTCATTCTCAGGTTTCTGCTGAAATTTTCTGCTATCTCTGCTGGAAGGAAGGAAGGCTCTTATTGTATGCCTGGAGATATCTGACTAGTTCTCAATATTTATGTTATTTTTTATGATCTTTTCATGAGTTTTCACCTTTTTAATGCTGTATTTCTATATACAATTTTTGCATGTTTTCTAAGCTTTCCTCATATCTGAGATTAGTCCACTACTATCAGTATTGGAAAAAGACAGCCATTGAAATAGAGAAAGAAGCAGAATTATACAAGAGAGAATGAGGATAGAGTATTAAAAAAAAAATGAAGGTAAGACAAAATATGTATAATTAAAAAATGACAGTCTTTTAACTTGGCTTTCAGCAAACACCTTACAGCTTATTCCATTTGTCTCAAACATAACTTATAATATCTCTGTGCTTTTAAGTATCTACAGCTAGGTAATGAGCTTTTGACAAAATAGTATCCCCTTTCCACAAAAGAACTTAAACATTTCACACTGCAATTGCAGATTAATTCCTATGGGGAGATTAAATACTTTTAAGAAGTGAAGTGGAAATGTCTCCTTTGACAGTTTGAAAAAACCAACAACCCCCCCTACAAAGAAACAAACAATCCAACCCTGCCCCCCCGCTCCTCACCCCCCCCCCGGCAAAAAAACCCATAAAACGCCAAAAACCAAAACAAAACAACAGAAAACCCCAAACCAATATCCCAAACCTTAAACTTCTAATTAATTTAGTTCACATAACTATAACAAAGCCTAAAATGAAATTACAAAAAAAAGGAATAATTCAACACAAAAACTGCTTCAAGGGCATTTCTTAATAGCTGATCAAAGAAATAAATCTTCACACAAAAGCAGGTCTTTCACTGGCAACAATTTTCAGGAAGGAAAAGGCACAGTCAAGGGAAAAATTTTACATAAGCAATTGTTTTTGAGGGAAAAGATATATATACACTGAAAATACACATCTTGCATCCTGTCCTTGACCATATGTATCCTCCAGCGGGGCGAGTTCCCTTGTCTCCATCCTGAAATAACCAACTGCAGCACTGACACCTCCAGCAGGTTGATGAGTTGTTATTCCTTGGATGAAGCAGCATTAGATCCTGAAGACCAAGGGGCATTTGGTGCACATTTGTCTTTGGATCATTAGAGGAAGGACATGGTTTCCCTGTTGTTATCATTTGAGGTGCATGGAGAGAGACCTGCCTTGGAGCCTAATTCAGCCCAGCTTGCTGCAGGAGGGTACCAGTCCCTTCACCAAGAGGCTGCTCACCAAAATGCTGTTTCTGGTCCTCCATACCCAGCAGAGCTGCGAGATCAGGCTGTGAGGAGGAGGAGGAGGAGGGCAGAGGCAAGTGCTCTGAGGAGAAGGGATGCCCCCAGAATGTGTGCACCAAAATGGGATCAACTGATACACACTACTGCAAAGAAAGTTGTGAGGCACTGGAACAGGTTACTCAGAGAAGCTGCGGAAATCCCATCCCTGGGAGTGATCCAGGCCAGGTTGGATGGAGCTCTGAGCAATCTGGGCTGGTGGAATGTGACCTTGCCTATGTCAGGGGTGAAACTAGATGATCTTTAAAGTCCCTTCCTACCCAAACCATTCTATGATTCTACAATTCCATGAAAGAAATCCCGTTGTTGTGATGCTCTCCAGGGAAGCTGGTGAATATTCTGTTTGGGCACAAAACCAGATCACTTTCTGGAAGTTACCTTTACATATCAAAGCCATTTACTGCACCTGGTAAAACTGCAGCAGAGAATCTCTCCCAGAGTGATTCCCCCTGGATTCTACCCTAGATCAAAGTTGAGGTACCTGATGTCTGGGAAAGGACTTCCAGAATTGCTCCAGAGGCACTAAAAGACAGATCCTCAGAGATATTTAGGCACCTAATTCCTTTGAAATCAGGAAGATCTGAGTATTTCAATAACTGGGGGAATCTGAACAGTGGGACTGGCTTTCAGTAAGAATCATCATCTTTTGAATTTATAGTACTTCCTCTCTATCTTCAGACTGTTGTCTTGCTGAGAAAAACTAATAGGATCTCTAATCAGTTTGTAGAAATATATATATATTTTTTTAAGAGATTTCCTGGTTTTAAATGTCCTTTGAAAAAGAAAGTAGGAAAAAGGCTGTATTTCCAAATATCTGCTCTCTCTTCCACATTGGAAAACAAAAGGCAAATTACAGTATTGCCAAGTATTCCTTCAAAACCCCATAAGAAAATGAAGATATGTCAACATATGCAAGAATCTATATTCTCCATATTACATCATGGATGGCCTTAAATTTGTCTGGCTCAAGGTTGTCCTTTGATTGGTATTCAAGTGGAGTGGTAAGTGTGTGCTCTCTAATCCCTGCAACACATGGTAATTTTTTCATTCTCTCCCCGTCTCCACCTGTTCCATGGTCCAGTGGAGGGCTGCAAATCCTATCAGGGGAGTGCAGCACTGCTAAGCCTGCTTCCCTGGCTCCAGTCCATCACATGTGCACTCAGGCTGCAGAGCACCGAGCCAGCTGCAGCCCAACGATCATGTTATCAGATGACGGATGGCTTCATATCAGGTGTTTAAACTGACGAGCTGCCCCATCTGGTAAATGATTTGGGAAGTCTGGCCTTGCTTGATGAATGGGGAAAGTGACAATGCCAATCAGTGTGACCCCTGCAGCTTCCCTGCTGCCGGCCCAACAGCCACAATCAAGTATATCCCACTGGCTTACTTTTTCAATCCTATTGTCACTCTACTGAGACCTACTGTCACTAAATTGCCACTAAATTATATCATTAATC